CAGTATTTTCCCAGTTCTTCCCGTTTCTTCCCTCCTAAGTTTCCTATCCGAGTCAGGTTTCCTATCCGAGCTAGGTTTCCTATCCGAGTCACGGCACCATTATGTCGCTCCCCCTCTTCGTGGAGGAGCAACACTGAACCCTGCCTAGGCTTCATATCCGAGTCACGGCACCATTATGTCGCTCCCCCTCTTCGTGGAGGAGCAACACTGAACCCTGCCTAGGCTTCATATCCGAGTCACGGCACCATTATGTCGCTCCCCCTCTTCGTGGAGGGACGACACAGGACCCTGCGCTGTTCTTTCGTCTGCTCGGCCCTCCCCGGGTTTGCTGCTGGTTCTTCCCGGGTTGGCTACTATCCCTTCCACCTCCGTGGAAGGGCAGTTCCCCCTGGCCGCATTCCCCACTTCCGCAGGGGAGCGGCACACCGCCGGCCGGCTCTCTGGGGGCTGCACGGGTTCCCTTAGATGTTCCCCATAGATGTTCCTGGTGCATGCCGTCTCTCTCCTCCTTTATAGTCCTCCTCCGCCAATCCCAACTCGGCTGAGTACGCTGCTCTCCAATCAGGAGCAAGTCCTACAGTTAATTGGTTGAACTGGAGGCAGCTGTGCGGAAGCTGTTTACTTCTCTCCCAGCGCCATATTGTGGGAGAGCAGATGCATAGAATAAGTCCTAATTCGAGTAACTTAGTCTAGTCCGGATTGCTCCCCACATGCCCTGCCACCAGAATGGTTACTTCTCCACGTATACATCCTTAATCATGATACTACAGCGTGTCAACTGCGGATTAAGCAGAGCCTAATTCTGAATGAGTTGAGCTCCTTGTAGCACTCCCATCAAAAGGGACCATTTGGCAATTAGGGAAGCATTTTTTGTTTTTGTTTTTGCCCAATTTAGCTTAAATTAGGTATTTTTTTATTCTGAAAATTTGGGATTACAAATGACTTCCTCATTGTGTTTCTTTAAAACGGGTTAAACACTGGAACATTGAGGTTTTCAGAGACTTTTGGAATTGGTTGAATTTTACTTTATTCACAGTTTAATGTGATGAAAATGAGGTATAGCTACAGTTTACTCTTAAGGGAGATGCTGAAGAAATAGTGACACTTGATTCCTTTTTGGCTTGAAGTGGAATCCCTTAATCCATGTGTGGGCTCATAAACTTGAGGAAAGAGAGTGCAGAAAATTAAAGTTTTATTTGAGGGCTTTCTATTGGATAGGGTTATCAGGTTACTTTCATTGGAAAGACAATCAGGGTGAAGCTTAAATCTGTTGTAGTTGTCCATAGGGAATTGGGCACAGGTGAGTACCACTGGACTCCTGGATAGAGGGCTATCTCAGAGGGGTTTTTGGATTTGAAAATAAAATGGATCTTGAGAAAGGATAGTTTGGAGGGAAAAAATTACTGAAAAAGAAACGTTCGTTAGAGATTTTGGATTAAATAGAGGAAGAATGTGGTGGTTGATATGAGTTCTTTTCTGAATTATCATCTTCATCAGATATGGTTGTTGATTAATGAGGAGGAAAAAATTCCACCATGTAAGGATTTCTGTTTATTTTTGAGCTCTTAAAAAGAATAATCTAAAATAATTAAAAAGCAAGAATCTGTTGCTCCATCAGCATTTGGATTCCTAAGACAGATCTTAAAAATTTATTTTTCTCTTTTTTAAAAAATTTATTTATTTGAAAGAGTTACAGAGAGAGGCAGAGACAGAGAGAGGTCTTTATCCGCTGGCTCACTCCCCAGATGGCCACAATGGCTGGAGCTGCGCCTATCTGAAGCCAGGAACCAGGAGCCTCTTCGGGTCTCCCACGTGGGTGCAGGGGCCCAAGGACCTTGGCCATCCTCTACTGCCCTCCCAGGCCATAGCAGAGAGCTGGATCAGAAGAGGAGCAACTGGACCAGAACCGGCGCCCATATGGGATGCTTGCGCTTCAGGCCAGGGCTTTAACCCAGTGTGCCACAGCCCCAGCCCCTATTTTTCTTTATTTTCATTTAATTAGAGAGAGAGAGAGAGAGAGAGAGAGAGAGAGAGAGAGATGTCTTCCATCTGTCTTCCATCTTCTGGTTCATTCTCTAAATGCCTGCCACAGTTAGGGCTGGCTCAGGTGGAAGCCAGGAGCCTGGAACTCAGTTTGGGTCTCCTGTGTGAGTGGCAGGGATCCAACTAATTGAATCATCACCTGCAGCTCTCCACGGTGTGCATTAATGGCACCTGGAAGCTGAATCAGAAGCACAGAAGTTGAATGGGACTCAGCTAGGCACTCAGATATGAGATACAGGTGGTGGTGGTGGTGGAGAGTCCCAGACAGCATCCTAACTGCTACATCAAATGCCTGTTCCCCCTCCTGGGCTTTGCCATGTGTGGATATTTAGGGACTGTGTATGCAGGTGAATACTGATTCTTGTGCTTGTGCCTTTGCCTGCACTTTCAGATTTGGGGATAAGGGTGAGGGCTGCTGAGGGTTCACAGAAAGTGAAGATTGCAACAGACCCTCTTGTTAGGTAGTTAAAAGATCTGTTTGTTTCTCCTTTGATGAGAAATAACAGGATATGGAAATGCTTAATTATTTGTCAACATTGTCTTCACCATCAGCACAGTATTGATGCACTGATGATGATAATAACTGGCGTTTATGGAGTGCTTGCTATGTGCCAGATATTGTTTGAATAGATTAAATCAAGTCATGTAATCACTACACAGTGTGCCTATGAGTTAGGCAGTCTTATGATCCCTATTTTATAGAAGAGTTTTTGCCCAAGGTCAGCCCATACATTCTTGTTCCAGACCCTGACTTGAAGCACCACGTAATGGCACTAAATAATGCTCCTTGAAGTGCCTTGTGTTTTGCCCTGATGTTGTTTTCACTTTTCTCCCCCACCCCACTCACTGTCAACTTTTCTATGGCTGTCTCAGAGGTGATCATATACTTAGGTTGGCACCCTTTTATAGAAGAGAAAACAGAGCTGAAATTATGTAATTGTTCTGCATGACTTAGTGAGTTGGTGGTAGGAAAAGGATGTAGAACCTGGGTTTCTTAATATATAGGTCATTGCTTTTCCCACTGCTCTATATTCCTTCCATTAGAAATATTTTAAAGATTTAACTGAACTAAAAATGTATAAACTTAATTTGTGTCACCTGCACTCCTGTGGATGCTCTCTATTAAAATAGCTGGATACTGCATGATGTTGCCCTAGAGAGGAAGGAGGTAGACATTTTAGAAACTTAACTAATTTGCCTGTGGGGTTATCTGACCTACTCCTAAAGATGTCTTTCTAGTCTTTGGCAGGCTTACTTAAAAAGTGGAAGCAGAGTATTTAGAAGAAATAAAATACCCACTTTCAGACCTGAGTTTTTCATGATCAGTGGATTCACAGAAGGGCATTTGTTTTGGTTTTGTGTGTGTGTGTGTGTGTGTGTGTTTGTTGTTCTTTCATTTGGATACAACCAAATTAAATCTTAAAAAAAAACAAAAAAGGCTAAGTGTGAGCCTTCTTTTGCTATTGTCTGGCAAATAAGATTTTAAGAGGCAGAAGAAAGAATCACCTTAATTCTTAGTGTTTTAGAGTCTCCCACATTCTGGCTTGTCTTTGTTTGTTCTTTTCTTTTGGTCCCGGGATTCCTTTTGTTATAACCTCTTTCCTGGGCTAATGCTTTGTTTAAAAACAAGTGCTCTGGTATTCTAAAACAAATTATCCAACAGGCTTGCTGTGCTTTCAGATAAAAGAGCCCGGGGTGGTGCTCTTTCTACCTTTGAATTTGTCTCCAAGACACTTACACTCTTTCCGAGAGTAAGATTTTACTTTCTAGCTTCCAACTCTGACTAATGTGGTTATCTAAACTAGAGAATATGAATTTGAAAGGGGAAATGTGGATTCATTGTAACCCTTAATGTCAACCTGCGATGTAATGGGTAGTTTTGTGTGGGGTTAGAAACTGTGGGCTCAAGTTGATCTTTTTGAGTTTGTAGCTAAAATGACTTTGGGCTGGTCGTCAAACTCTCAACCACACAATAATGATAATGAAAATAAAAAAGGACTCCCAGCCTATTCTGTGGAAAAGCACATGTTCAGATTTTGCCCATGACCCGGAATCCCATGTGGCCACAGGCAAGTAATTTGATTTCACAGTTTCTATTCTTAAAATTTGCAGGATAGGATTCCCAGTAGGAGTTACGTAGTGATTATAACATATCAGCTTCCTTTTAGGAGAGAGATTGTAGCTGTGAGAAAAATATTCATGAAAGCCTTGGCCAAATATTTTTATATATGGTGAGTGAATACCATTTCAGTTAGTTTTCTCCTTACTGCAAAACTTTTATAAATAATTACACTTTTTGTCACCCACGTTGGGTAAGGAGAATTGGGATTTTATGGTTTCAGACTGTTGGGAATAAAAAGTTCTTATCTTATACAGTGGTGTCTGAACCCAGTCGCACATCTGCACTTCCGGTAGCTTGTTAAACATACAGATTCCTGGGCCCTGTTCTTGATCTGCTAAAAGTTAAACCTTGTTATGTGGCTTTGGAATATCTTTAAAAAACAAAGCAAAACAAAACAAAACACCAGAATCCCGAGGAGTTCTTTTACTACAAGTCTCTGTACAGAAGTTTTGGAATCACTGTTTTAGAAAATATTTTTTGAGTGTTTCCTTGGGGCAGAGGTAAGGGTGGTGGTTTAAAGTGATTAATTTTGGGTCTCACATTGTGGCCTAGTGAGTAAAGCTACTGCCTCCCACACCAGCATCCCATATAGGCATTGGTTTGATTCCTGGCTGCTCTATTTCTAGTCCAGCTCCTTACTAGTGGCCTGGGAAAAGCAGTGGAAGATGGTGTTAATGGTTGGGTCCCTGCACCCATGTGGGAGACCCAGAAGAAGCTCCTGTCTCCTGGCTTTTGACCAGACCAGCTCAGCTCTAGCTGTTGAGGCCATCTGGGGAGTGAACCAGTGGATGGAAGATCTTTTTCTGTAACTCTTCCAAGTAAATAAATCTTTTTTTTTTTTTTTTTTTTTAAGAAGTGGAGCAGCCAGGACTTGAACCTCAAATAAATAAATCTTTAAGAAAAGGAAATTAATTTCTGTGCTACCAAACCATTTCTGAAAACAAACCACTGATGGATGTTTGGCTTTAAAATCTTACTTATTTTGAAATAGAACACAACCTGAAAAAAGTAGTGTATGTAGCCCAATGAATTATCACAGAGTGAACACCCATATAACCAGTACCCAGGCAAAGAAATAGAACATTGCCTACAACATTTGATTTTTCTTTTATTTCTCAGATTTCCTCTTCCACCAAATCCCAAGAAATTAGAGGTGTAAGTAAAGGTTGATGAACTAATATAAGGAACAGATGAAAAAAGCACTTTGTATTTTTTGTGCTAGGTGCTTGTTAATTACTCTCAGGTTTGTAAGTTTTTGGTAATGTTATGTTTGTGTTATATATGTTTTGATTCAGACTTAAATCAGTTCCCGACAGTAACGTCTCCTAATGCTCGTAGCATATATCAGGATTATGCTCTAAGACATATCTTTTCTGAAATCTCATTCGCTGAAAATATTCTCACAATAGTCTTGAAAAATGCACCAGGACAGATATGCAGGCCTGGCAGTTATGACTCTTGTAAACAAATGAGTCTTGTCATTACTGCCCCCGGAACTTAGTGAACCTGTCTCAGTCAGCATGTGTCTTTATCTGGCACATGCCGAAAAGTACTTTAAGGTTAACAAAAATAAAAGAAGTTCTTCTCTCTGTCCACCCTAGAATAATCTCCCCTCTGTTCTCTTGCATTCTTAGCATTTAAAAGCAAAGGTAATGAAGTTTTCCTGAGGTTTCTCCTCCCCACCCTCCATTATTTCTGGAATGGAAGAAACCCTAAACTATTAGTGAGAGAAGTTCCAGCTGTATCAAACAGCAGCATGTCTGTGTGTTTTCTTTGGAAAGGGATGCTTTATGGTCAGGGGACTCGGGACAAACCCTGCACTTGAGCCATATGCAGGTGCGAGGAGAGAGCTGTCCACAGCCCGTGGCAGTGATGACTAATAACTGTGCCAGCAGCTGCACATCTGTACTTTGCTGGCAGGCGTGGGTGCTCGGTGACTGTTAAGAGCTGCTCCCCTTCCTCGCCTCTCCTCACACTCCCCCATCGTGGTGATCTCCACCATCAACTAAATAGGTGACAAGACTCCAATCACCCTGCTCTGAATGGCTTTCCATCTTCCCAAAAGTACACCAGAGGCTTGTTTTGTTACAGTACATTGATTAAATAAATATTCCTGCGTGCACAAAGGAACTGAAATCTGTTATGGCACTCGGCAGTTATCCGTCCGTTAGTAGCAGAGAAACTACTGCCTGTTCTCTCCCCTCTGCCCCCCACCCCCGCCCCTTCTCTCTACCACGCAGATTCTCAAAGGTGCCAGTAACAGATAAATTATCTGACCTCCGCTTTCAGGCGCGTGTGAAGCAGGAGGGTGGTGTCATGCTCTTTGGTGCGGCGTGCCGTTGGGGCAGTGCCCAAGGTGTACGGATAATAGGAGAGCCCAAGTGATTTAGATGAGAAGATTCTTTCTTGCTTTGGGGTTGTCGGACCTTTGTCTCTGCCCTTCAACTCTTAGCAGAAGTGGACTCAGGAAGGTCTTTCAAATTAGCTTGCTTCTCTTTTATAGGAAAAAGGGTGCTTCTGGCCTTGAAGTAGTTCTGTGTCTGCTGTCAGGCGTGGAAACCACAGAGCCCTCTATGAGACATAGTCTCCTTGTGTTTATTTACAAGCTGCTTTCAAATGTCAGTTGCTGAAGAGACCCTAACTGTTTGAGCAGAATGATAGGAATTCCAGCCACGGTGTTGCTAGCAGGTTTCCTTTCTTTTTTTGGGCAAGGGTGGAGGACTGGTTAAAACAACACTTGGATTAAAAAAAAATGACCAGTTTAGCAAGTGTTATTTATAATCCTTTGCATGTCAGCTGTCAAGCACCTCAGTATTAAGGAGTGATTTATACATTATGTGTGAAGTGACCGTTACTTTCCTTTTCATACAAGGCATTAGAGAAGGCTCCAGCACAGGGAGCTGGGGAGTAGGGGAAGAAAGAATGACAGTGTAACATAGGAAGTTAGGGTTGTACAGAAGGGCTGTGAACATTATTTTGGTGTGAAGGAAGTGGCATGCAGAGAGAAGTGTGGCTGAAGGGAGGTGTTGAAATGTTAGCAGCTCCTAACATCTGCTAAGGAGAGGAGGAACCCCTACAGAAATGAGATGGGTGCTCCTGTGTAGCTATGACATTAAAAAAAATGTAAGGAATCTTGGAACCTGTGGATGACAGAGACACAGGCACGGAAGGCTGTTGGAGTAGGTAAAGTGAAATCTCGTAGTGTGTGTGTCTTCCGACTGACTGTGGGTAATTAGTTGGAAATGACATTAACCTGAGTTTAATTTCAATTTTGCATAGTAACAACATACCAGCTGTTCACTGTATTCTTTACTGGTGGTGCGATTTAGTGTTTTTTTTTTTTTTTTTTCTATCTTTGACGCTCTAAGTTTCTTTATGTTTTCCTTTAATTCCTCCTTGTTGCTGTGGTCACAGCCCCCAAAGTTTAACACTCATTAATGCCATTTCTGTCACTTTGGTGCTGTCTCCATTGCTGAGGGCTTTGGGGTGCTTTTGGGTTTGCTAATCACTTGGCTTTTTAAAAGTCCATGCTGGGCCGGCGCCACAGCTCAATAGGCTAATCCTCCACTTAGTGGCGCCGGCATACCGGGTTCTAGTCCCGGTCGGGGCACCGGATTCTGTCCTGGTTGCCCCTCTTCCAGGCCAGCTCTCTGCTGTGGCTTGGGAAGGCAGTGGAGGATGGCCCAAGTGCTTGGGCCCTGCACCCCATGGGAGACCAGGATAAGCACCTGGCTCCTGCCTTAAGATTAGTGCGGTGTGCTGGCCGCAGCGCGCCAGCCGTAGCGGCCATTGGAGGGTGAACCAATGGCAAAAGGAAGACCTTTCTCTCTGTCTCTCTCACTGTCCACTCTGCCTGCCAAAAACAAAAACAAAAAAATCCATGCTGGAAAGTTGCTGAGATAAGCATGGATGACTAGAAACCTTGTTGTGTTTTAGGCTCCTCAATAAGGTTTAACTTATTATATAAATATTATGGATAATTCCAGGCCTATCAAAGGTTCTCCAAATATCAAGTGAACAAGCTGAAAGAGAAGTTAATTACTGAACAGTGATTGCTCTGATATAACCAATTACTGGATCATTAAATGTTTATTACCTTTTATATGCTCTTTTCCCCCATAAGGGCAGTTTCTTTTTTAAGTCATTAAAACAGAAATGGGATCTTAAAAAAAATTCTACTTAAAAAATTTCCACAAGACTGAAGTATTAAAAAGGTCTTGTGTGATCTGACAGCTGAATAGCCTGTTTTTCTTTGGTCTGTTGAATTAGTAATTAATGAAATGTATTGCCTGAGCAGAGAAAATAAGATTAGTTTTGCTTAGGAAGAAAACAAAAGCAAAACATTAACCCCTAAATGCAGGTTAATATTAAAGTGCAATGTAATAAGTATTAGAAAAAATTCAAGTTTCCTTGAAACATGAGAGAGATGTTCAGTGATAATAGCCATTTAATTAATTAATGTATCCCTTTTTTGAGCACCAACATTGTGCTTGGAAGGAATGGGGGAATTATATAAGTGCAGAATAGGGCAAGGGTCCTGTTTGCACAGAGATTCTGGGTTAGCAGAGCAGTTCCTCCAGGTGCTTTAGTGAAATGTTGAAAGTGGTGGTGTTGACTGTGGGGATGGGTGGTTATGAAAAGGGAGCTTACTTTCCGGAGGCCCAGATATCCTATGGGAAACCTTGCTTTTGGGATGGGCCAGAAGAACAGGTTCCTGGAGCCCCATTACTTGGGTTCACACCCCAGTTTTGCCACTTGATTAGCTGTGTGAGCTTTTATCTCAATTTCTTTCTTCCTTTTCTTTTTTTTTTTTTGAATGTTTTATCTGTATATCAAGTAAGTGAAAATAGTGATCTTTCATCCTGTTGGTTCACTCTATAAACGCCTGCAACAGCTAGCAGCTGGGCCAGCCTGAAGCCAGGAGCCTGGGTGGCAGGGACCCAAGTACTTGCGCCATTATCTGCTGCCTCACAGGATGTATTAGCAGGAAACTTGATCAAAAGCAGAGTTCCTGGGACTCTGCTTAGCACCCTGATATGGGATGTGCATGTCCCAAGTGGCAGCTTAACCTGCTGCCATGCAACACCCACCCCATCTCAGTTTCTTTATACAGTGAAATGACAGTAATGCATCCATTCTAGGGTTGTCATGAGGGTTGTGTGAGTTACGACTGTAGAGTGCTTATGACGGAATATAGTACATAAAGAACATAATCATGGTGGAGATTGTTTTTGTTGGTATAGCTGAAGTCTTAGGAGGGATGATGTTTGTATTTCATTGGATGCTGAGAAGCAGAAAGATGTTTCAGGCATTTCTTGTACTGTCATGTGTAACCACCTACTTAATTTATAATTCCTACAGTAATGTCTGCTTATGTAACACCACTGTCAAAAGATTACAAAGGGCATTTACAAATGCTTATTCTCAGAAGCAAGAAGACTGTTTATGCACATTCTCCAGAGGTGTGAAAGGCTGTCTGGAGAGCTGGTCCTGGACAGTGACTACTCGTTAATTGAAGTGTGCTTGGAGTGTGGGTTTGTGGAGGGTAAATTAGACCATGGAGAGAGGGTATTTTTTAATTTGATTTTTAATTCTTAGTTGAAGAACTGTATCTGCAAACAGATTGTGTGTGAGAAGGACATTTTTAAAATGTTTTGTGCAGTTTTTAGCAATGGTGAACTTGTTTATTTCTAAGATACTGGGTCACTGACTGTTGACTTTATAGTTTATTATTTATTTTTATTTAAAAGGCAGAGTGATGAAGGGGAGAGGGGGGAGGATAGAGATAAATTTCATCTGCTGGTACACTTCCCCAATGCTGGCGACAACCAAGAACTACATGTGGGTCTCCCAGGTGAGAGGCAGGGAGCCAGGTGCCCCCCAGGATGCACATTAGCAGGAAGCTGGGTAGGAACCGGAGGCAGAACTCCAATCCAGGCACTCCGACATAGGACATGGAGTGGCGGCTTCACCTGCTGTGCCACAGTGCCCATCCTTGAGAGCTGAATTTAGAGGAAGTTTATAATGATGATAATAAACAGTTGCTGAACATTTGCTATATCCCAGGCACTGTTTACTATTGTAACTGTGAAGTTGCCGCTTTAGTTATCCTCATTTTACAGGTATGGAAAATAAGGCACTGAGATGTTCACAGATCTCCCTGAAACTCTTAATTGTGTTTGTGCAAACCATTTCATTTTGAAAAAGATTTATTTATTTGAAAGAGTTACACAGAGAGAGAAGGAGAGGCAGAGAGACAGAGAGGTCTTCCATCTGTTGGTTCACTTCCCAATTGGCTGCAATGGCTGGAACTGTGCCAATCTGAAGCCAGGAGCCAGGAGCCTCCTCTGGGTCTTTCCATGTGGGTGCAGGGGTCCAAGGACTTGGGCCATCTTCTGCTGCTTTCCCAGGCCATAGCAGAGAGCTGGATCGAAAGTGGAGCAGCCAGGATTCGAACTGGCACCTGTATGGGATGCCGGCACTGAAGGTGGCAGCTTTACCTGCTGTGCCACAGCGCCGGCCCCAAACCATTTCATTTTGATTTGTATCTTTTATCAGAACCCTTTGAGAAAGACTCATCAGCTGTTCTCTCCATCTCATAGGAAAAGAGAGGGAATATGTGATAAGCTGATGGGGTTCACAGTGAGCTTCGTTTGGACTGAAAATTTTGAGGTAGCTCTTCTATGCCTTTTCACGACTTCAAGCAGGGCATTTTACTCTAAGGCCTCAAGATCTATAACACATGCCAAGGTCTTACACAGTGTTAGAGTTTGGAAGAAACATCATCTGTAAACTATGAAATTCTTGTGTGATTTAGACTCAGACCGCTCTGGCAGTCCTGGGCTCACTATTTACTACCTTGCCTAACTTTTCTGAGCATGTTTGATTGTTTGTAATATGAAGCTATACTTCTGCCTCTCCTCAGAGTTGATTTTGAAGATAATACTTCTAAATTATCTAAATTTTTAACCATATGTAGATGAGATTCTTACTAATTGGTTCAGACCAGAGGGCACTTAGGAAAGTTTCAGGCCTCAGCTGGAACTCCAGCCTCTTAGCTCCCTGGGCCCTGGGTCTTTCCAGCTAGTTACTGTATTGTTGAGGATTAGGAAGATATCATCATAATGAGATGTGCCCCATTTCTCCTTAGAAACTATAGTCCTGATTCTTTCTCCAGACTCACCAGGTTATCATTTGACCCAGTAAGTATAGGGGATTCAGTAACGAATTGGGCATTTTCATGAAGTAAATTGCTAAAATACTTGCAAACAGCAGGCTGTGATAAACATGAGGGCAGGGGATCTGGCTATGGTGTTGGCTTTGTATCGCGCAGGGTTCTGGGATACCTGCCACGTAGTTGTGTGGAGGATGACAGGAACGAGCATTAGGAAATAGAAATGAGAAGGGGAACAAAGTATTTTAAATTTTGGTATTGTAGGAAAGAGGAAGTTGTAGGTGGGTTAAGCCCATCAGGTTTTACAAATTAGGCATTATTTATTTTAAATTTTTTATTTATTTAAATGGCAACAGAAGGGGAGAAAGAGAGAGAGAGAGAGGGCGTGCGCATGAGAATGAATCATTACAGCACCCTAGGGTGCACATCAGCAGGAAGCTAGAATTGGGAGCTGAGCTGGACTCATACCCAGGCACTCCCGAATGGGATATGGGTATCGCAAGTGGCATCCCAAGTGCTGCAAATGCATGCCTCAGATTGAGCATAATTTAGAGGCTTGAAAGCATTGTATGCCAACACATTCTGCTAAGAGCATGTTTTTATCATGAGGCAAAATTTTATCCAAGTCAGAAACTTCTTTTAAATTACAGTATATTCATTCCTGTTTTGTGATTTGGGTCTGTGGAGTCAGAACTTGTCAGGAAGGTTAGTTAGGTGAAGCTGTGCAGCCGACAGTGTGGACATCTCACAGGCAGCCGTGCTAAAAATCTTGCTGTAAACTGGCCACAAGTAAACGCCTGCTTGTGAATCAGTGTGACCTTTAGCAAAAACAAAAGAAGCAAACCACTAACACATGAATCAGATTTTCTTAGTATGAGGATTGTAAACTCTGGTACTTAACAATTTGTCAGACCCAATTGGAGCAGTTGAGACAACTTCCTTTCCCTGTTTTCATTTGCCCTACGCACAGATGTGTATATCCATTTTTAACAACACATTAGGGAAATTTGATATTTTTTTCCCCATTGAGCTGAGCTATATGGGTGTTTCTCTAATCATCATGGAACTTTATAAAAATCGGAGATTACTGGGTGCCACTCAAGACCTACTGAATCTGAAACTCTCCGAGTATGGGACCCAGAAATCTATTCTGAAGAACATCTCAAGCAATTCTATGATTAATTAGATTTGGAAACCACTGAAATAGAGAATGACAAAACTGTGTTTTTTAATCCATTTGTCCATGTACATGTATCTTGATTGGGTCAGAATTCACACATAGGGTGATGTTCATCTTAAAAGCTGGATGTAAGGGTGGGCTTTACCTAGCAATTCTAATAGTGGTTAAGATGCTGGAAACCCATTATCAGAGTGCCTGAATTCTGTAGTTGGCTCTGGCTTCTAATTTCAGCTTTCTGCTAATACAGTCCTTGGGAGGCAGCAGCAAGGGCTCCAATAGTTGTATTCCTGTCACCTATGTAGGTGACCTGGATTAAGTTCTTGGCTCCTGGCTTTAGCAACTCTGCTCCAGCAGCTGTGGGCATTTGGGGAACAAACCTGTAGATAGGAACGTGTTCTCTCAAATACAAAGAAACATTTTTAAAAAGCAAAAGAAAAAAAAAACTTGGGCATTGAAACTGGAATTAGAACCTAATCCCAGCCCTGTGTGTTTCCTGTGCTAGCTTAACAGTTTTTAGCTTGGGGTTGAGCTTTAAAGAGTTCACAAATTTCAGAAGTCATAGGCAGAAGATTTTTGTGTACACACCTTGTTCTTGCTTTCATCAGATTTCTCTGAGGGGTCAGTGACCCATAAAAGGTTAAGAACCAAAGCCTCAAGCTTTCACAGCTGTTCTGGGAGCAGTGGAAGAGGGCAGTGTCTCTGTTGCCACTTACAATGTATTTGACCTTTTGAGAGGCAATAACAGTTTGAGACTTGCACCTGTTTTCTGCGCTGCTTAAAATATTTAAAAAGAAAAAAAAATAATGTAACACTTGGGTCATGACCAAAACAAGGCCAAGGGATATAGAAAATATTTGGTGAACTGTATAAAATTAGTGTTAAGGAGCTGCTGACAGTGAAATAGCCCCGTGGTCAGCCTGGTGGAGGAACTTGTTAAATAGAACAGCATAGGCAAGGTTCACTCCAGTGTTCTTACAGCGTATAATTAGCCAAATTATGGATGACAGTATTCACACCATGGATATACAGGAATACTAATTGTCTTATTTTTTGTTGCATTCTAGCCCCAGCATGTCCACTGAATTGCTTAATTCCAAAATAACTTTAGCAGCTGTACGGCTGATATGTTGCTTCTTATCTCCTAAAATCTCTGAATAACACCGTTAACCACGAAACAGAATTGGATATTAGGGAAGTCTGTCTTTAACTGCTACAGAAAGTTTTATTTGCAAAATACTAGAATCTTATATATATGGTATTTTTATCCCTAAGGATAACTAAGTGAATCTCAGCACAAGTCCTTCCCTCCTGATACATATTCTTTCTCCTCTCTGATACACCCAGTGAATTCACGTTTATTTGGGGAAAAGCAATTTTCAATTATTGTTGGTCTGGTATTGCCGTGTTTTAGGATTGGGTTGGTTTTAAAGAAGAAGGAAGTCAATGAAATTAAATGTTATTAATGGGTAAAATTCTTTTGCCATTTATTTGAATATATTTCCTTTTTGTAATGTCTTTTTAGGTTGGTTAAATGTTTTATCACTTATTTTGAACTTTTACATAAGTGTGTTACTCATTATCTTTAAAGTGTGTATTTTATCTGCCCAAGTTGATTGCAGCTTGCTAGACTGTGATTATGTGTTCCTGTGGACACTCAGTAAATATTTGATTAATTGGATTTGTTGATTGGTCTTGTCTTTGATTCCTGAGAGTCTAGAAGATGGAATTTATCTGGAATTAAAACTTGATACATACTTAGAAAAGTAAAAATGTGAAAATGGGTTATCAGATCTTTCCTTAGGCAGGCATTTTTTTTCTTTATTTTCTTATGTGCTTGTATTTTCTAGTTCTTTAAAAGCTTAAGTATTTGAAATTCCATAGTTACAAAAATAATTTTATGGTAGAGTGACATTTTATTTTTGAGAGGCTTTTTACTTACTGCTTTTTAAAAATTATTTTTTATTGTGTATCCTTGGAGTAGCATATGTCGTCTCACATAGGCATCCTCTGTGTGTGTGTGTGTGTGTGTGTGTGTTTGCAGTTAGAATCTACGCATTCAGCTTGAATGCCTAGGTCAGGGTTATCACCTGTAACTCTCATGTTGTAGCTATTAGATTTCTAGACTTGTTAATCCTACTTACCTGCTGCTGTGAGTTACACCTTCCCATTTCCTCCCTGTTCCTTCATACCCTTGCCCCAGTAGCCACTGTTTTGCTCTTTGTATATACTGTATGTGAGATGATGTGATGTTTTACTTGCTGTGTTTGGCTCACTTCACTTATAATATTATCTATTCTCATCTTGTTCTTTTAGGGATGAATAATATTTGATTATATATTAGGAGTTCCAAGAATTTCATAGAAAATGCACATTATGACAAAATTATGTCGGGACCCAACCAAATAAAACTTATCTTTTAATTCCATTTCCACCAATTTATTGACATATCCTCATGTATTTGCTGCAGTTTCTCTATCCATTTATTTGTTCATGGACACTTAGATTGTTTGTATGTCTTGACTCAACATTGTGCACAATGCTGTAATGAACGTGGATGCTTAGTTATCTCTATGAGGTGGCAATTTCTTTCCTTTGGGTATATATCCAGAAAAAAGATTGTTGGATACTTATAGTCATTCTATGAATGTTTTCATTTTCTTTGGAGACCTCCATACAGTTTTCTACTATGGCTATACCAATGTACATTTCCGTCAACAATGTAGAAGAGTTCTCTTTTTTCTCAGTCTTGCCAATTTGATTTTTTAAATAAGGTTTTAAACACTCCGAAGAGAAACCAGAGTATGAATTTGTTTTTTTTTGATAAGTAATCCTAACTGGTGGGAGATTTTCTCTCATGATGTTTCAGGTTTCATTTCCCTGATGATTAAAGATGTTGAGCACCTTTTCATAAACCTGTTGCTGATTTTCATGTCTTTGGAGAAATTTTTTTTCAGATCTTGTGTCCATTTTTAAAACTGGGTTGTTTTTCTACTGTTGAGTTGTATGAGTTTTTTGTGATTTTGGACATATTAACCGTATATATGTATATAAACATATATATATGTATGTATTGTTTGCAATTTTTTTTCCCAATCCATTGGCTGCTGTTTTTCATTTTACTGTTTCATTTGCTGTACTGATAAAAGTTACTATTGTGCACAAGATTTTTAGCTCAATATACTCTCATTTGTTATTTTTATTTTTGTTGCCTGAGCTTCATAGCCAAGGCCAACATCCAGGAGCTTTTCCCTTGTCTTCTAGGAGTTTATTGTTTTTGGATAGTTACTGCTTTTAAAAAGGAAGGAGATTTCACCATAGACTTGATTACATGAGAGGGATTCATCTGCTTAACAGGTGGGTGTTGCCCTCCATAGGTCCCAGTCAAGTACAGTCCTAACAGCTGAAGTTGGGTAAGGGGACATTGGAGGCTTTCAGTGTGCTGGTGACTGTCAGTGGTTATCTCGAGAATCGACTTGTAAGCTTGAGAGAGAGGGATCCAGACTGTGAAGGGATTTGTCACTAACCTCTCTGTGTGAGAAGTGGACTTGGGAATGCTTAGCTTCTGGAAGAGGTGGTTCAGGGTCATTTGTGGCTGTCTTAAAGTGTTTAGAATTGATTTCAGGAAGAGAGATTTAGTTCCCCATGGTCACCACTACTCCCTTTGAAGACAATTTGGCATTCTCTGTAAGAAGGATTGTTTTCTAATAGTGCTTTGCTGTCTGAGGGTCTTGAATTCAGTTGCTGAAGGTGTTCAGACAGGCCCACTTATGGCTGTTTTGGATTATTGTAATGGAGCTTAACATTGAGTATTAGTGACCTTTGGGATTTATCCCAAAGAGACTATGATTATATGATTTGCAGGGCAAAGTTTTCTGAGTTAATGTAGTCATGCTTCAAAGTCTAGATCTGCTTGCAATTTTTTTTTTAAAGAAGTCAGTTTGGGTGCTGTTTACTTAGTACTTAGTTCCGTGTTCTCCATGTGTGTTGAACTGGAACAAGCTAATCTTACCAGTCCTCCTGGTCTCTTCTCATGGTTTGAGCTCTTTAAGTTAAGGTAATTAAAAAAAAAAAAGCACTTTGGCATTTTCCCTATTGTAGTTTGCCCCTGTGTGTTTGCTAATCAAAACGGGTATAGAGTTCAGTCATTTGGGATATATAAGTTTACATTTCAAGTCACTTAAGTGATATCCTTAAGGAAGATACTCATTGTTTGCTTACTCTTGGACTCCACCACCTCTCCAACAAACAGCAAACAAAAACTGCCTGTCTGTTTAAAGGATCTGGAAAAGGTGTTTTGTGATGTCTGAAAATGTGTCTGAGAGTAATGATATGGTCTCCAGTTAGTTAGACCTAGACTGGTAATGTTTCATTACAGTAAGTGGATATTTCGTAAACAGAGGATCTGGGAGGGAAAGCAGCGGTGGGGTGTGTATATGGGGTGGATTTTACTAGGAAAGCTGAAATGAATTCTGCAGTCCTGCAGTACCAGAGGGTACCATGGATTCATGTTCCAGGCTCTAATTCAGCATCTTGTCTCTCAGACACTTGGCACTGATTCGTTCATCTCAGAACTGAAGTCTTAAGGATTAAGCCGAGAGAGAATGGAAATGCATCATTTTCTCTGCCAGAGGAGGTACTTAAACTGGGAAAGGAGGAGGGGATGTTAACAAATCAAGCCTTGGCAGGGAAATCTGTCATGAATCAGCAGTGAATTGGAAAGCCTCTGTCGCTGTAATTTACAAAACCAAACATTTGCTGCTGCTGACATTTCTCTCTTGCTTACCTTTAGGATCAGCTTCAGGTCACACTGTGGAGGGAATGAATCTCTTCTTTTGGTCCATTTTGACAGCATTAGGTAATTAATTTACAACTAGCTCAATTAGACTCCAGCCCATACAGTGTGTGCGTGGCCTTTTAAAGAGCCTTTGTTTTGACGCTAATTGAACTGGTTGTAGCAGAGACAGCCAAACAATTTACATTTATCTTTGGCAGGACACAGGGCTGTTCTGTGGTATGGACAGTCCCATTTTCTGTTCCTTACCAAGTCTGGCACTGAAATGCTGTGTGCTTATTTTAGTTTTTTTTTTTTTTTTAACTTAAAAAGACTCTGAAAATGACAAAACCGCATAGGTCTGTTGTAAACAAATTGGAAGATATAGATAAGGTGGAAAGAAAATGTAATGGAAAACCATTTATTACCAGATATTTGTCTTTCTGTACTTTTTCCCCATCTGAAGGAATGCATCTGTATATATGTGTTTTCCTTGTTCTGTTTTTACAGAACAGGTCTTGTACCATGTAAACTATTTTTTAATCTGGTTTTCCTATCTAATAAGTTGGAAACACCATGTTACTTCCTAAAATATTGTTGTTCTGAAATATTTAAAATATCTGTCGTATGTATGTACCAAAACATATTTAACCAATTATTATTTTTATATACTTGAGCTCTTTCCAGGTTTTTGATATTATAACATTGTGATATATACTTGTATTTAAAAATTATTTTTTATTTTTTGAATGTGTAACAATTTTTTTTTGTAAATACTTTAGGGATATAGTGATTCTTCATACTGTACCCACCCTCCCACCCACACTCCCACCCTTCCCTCTCCTATTCCCATTTTTAATTTTTAATAAGATCTATTTTCAATTAACTTTATACACATATGATTAACTCGACACTAAGAGTTCCACAAATTGTGTGAAAAAAAGAAAAAAACCTGTTCTTCAACAGTCGAAACAAAGGGCTGTTCAAAGTCATTGCATCTCGAAGTGTTAATTATTTTAGGGGCTGGTGCTGTGGCGCAGCAGGTTAAAGTCCCTGGCCTGCAGGGCCGGCATCCCATAGTGCTGTGGTTCGAGTCCCAGCTGCTCCACTTCCGATCCAGCTCCTTGCTGCTGCTTCCGGGAGGGCAGCAGAGGATGGTCCAAGTCCTTGGGCCCCTGTACCCATGTGGGAGACCCAGAGGAAGTTCCTAGCTCCTGGCTTAGGATTGGCTAAGCTCTGGCCATTGTGGCTAGTTGGGAAGTGAACCAGCAGAGGGAAGACCTTCCTTTCTCTGTCTCTATCTCTCTCTGTAATTCTTTCAAATAAATAAATCTTTTAAAAAATATTTTAGATGCAGAAAGAGAACTCCTATTTTTCTTCCAGATCCTCACTCAATGGCCAGGGCTGGGCTGGGGCTGAAATTGGGAATTGGAACTGCAATACAGCCTCAATTACTGGAGCCATCACTGCTGCCTCCCAGGGTTTGTATAAGGCAGGAAGCTGGAGTCAGGAGCCAGGGCCAGGAGTCAAACCTAGTTAATTCTGATGTGAGAATCAGGCATATTAACCACTAAATCTTTGAGAACTTCATTAAGCAGTTGGAACAGAAAAATTCCTAGACACTGAATTATTTGCATGAGGAATTGTGTTTTTAATTTTTTTGATGCATACTGCCAAATTGCACCAATTTTCACATTTTGTGGCAGCATGTGAAAGCTTTGCATTTATTTTTAGTATTCACGAGTGCAGGATGGAGAGTACTGACTCAGAGATGGGTTCATTCTTGATCAGTGATTTTGCTGTTGCCTTCAAAATTTTACTCAGATTTGAAAATCTCAGATCAAAGAAGCCAGCTAACATCGTGTAGTACAGTATAGCTTTGCTCATTTTTTAAAAAATTGTAAGTCATCAGTTCTTTTTTAAAAAAAATTATTTATTATTTGAAAGGCAGAGTGACAAAGGGAGACATGCACAGAGAGATACTGTCCATCTGCTGATTGACTGCACAAATGCACAGTTCAGACAGGGATAGGGTAGGCTAGGCCAAAGGCAGGAGCCAGAGACTCCATCCAGGTCTCCCACCTGGCTGGCAGGAACACAAGTACTTTGGCCACCATCTGCTGGCTCCCAGGCACATTAGCAAGAAGCTGGAATGGAAGTATGGAGTAGCCTGGTCTCTAATCAGGCACTGGAGTATGGGATGTAGGCATCTAATCCACTGTGCCACAATACCTGCCCCAGTTTGGCTTACTTTTAATGATGATATATTGTTTTAGGAAGCTGGAGAATAAAAATATCTCTTGTTCTATAGAAAAGAAGTATTTGTTTCTGTAAGACAAAAGTTGCATTTTTGTGATTTGTAAATACTGTTTTTCATATGAGTAAGGACCAACCTGAAGAAATAGTGTGAAATCTAAGCAAGAATTGGATAATTTTGCCCAGTGTGTATACGAAACTTTTTCCACCTTCTGGAGGCCAGCAAAATCTATAGCTAGAGGAGCAAGATAAATTCTGGTGTCTTCATCTAGTTAGCCTTAGAAAAGCTATTATAAACCCCTTGTTTAAATTTCTGTTAGAGTACCTACTGCATTGTTCTATAGTTCTCTTTACTTGTCTAAACTACTTGGCTAGAAATTTCAAGAGTTGGTGTTTAATCTTAGTGTCTATATTTGCAGTGTCTGAATTTTGGATATACATTCCTACAGATGGCAGGTCCTCATTGTTGACTGAATGAGTATATAAGCAGGAACATGAGATTAGAGAGGAATGGTCTTTCGGGTCAACTAGGATACTGCACATACCCCTCTTCACACTCCTTCATGGCTTAAGAAATCTTAAGTTCAGAAATATTAAGGGACTTGTTGCTCAAGAAAAAGTTAATGATCCCAGCAGAAGTTGGAGTTCTCTTTTATCATTGCATTTCCCATATTTTTGTAGTACTAGGATTGTTTTTCCCCGGATGGTACTTTGTATGATTATATTTAAAATCAGTAGTAAAATATGCATTTCAAATATAGCACAATTTCCTTAACTCTTCTTTTTCTTCTCTGCTTGGAAATAACCTGAGATTTTTTGTTAAAATTTAACACACACACTCTTAAATCACATTTCTTTTTTCCGTTCTTTGTTTTTATATTTTCACCTATCCAATTTCATTCTCGATGGAGGTTTTCATTTACTCCAAGCAGTTTGCCGTCTGTATGTCAAAATGCATTGAATTGGCCTCTTATCCAGAAAGCCCACGTAAAGATCTCTTTTTCCCAGGAAACAAGGAAATGAGGCCGGAGTCAGGCAGGTGGAGCAAAGGCTTCTCCAAAGGCCCAGTGCTGCCCGTCTGCTACCCTGTCGTGATTCACAGTAGGTACAGATGTTTTCTACTGAAAAGTAGGTTCTGAAGAGTTTCTGCTTGGGACTTTTCAGTTTGCCAGTGCCAGATGATGTTTAAAAAGAGAAAGTTGATTCAGAGTAAACCAGGAGAAAAGGGGAAGTTTTCACATTTCTGGTTGTTTTGTTTTTGTTTTTTTTTTTTTTTAATTTTTTCGTTTGACTTTAGCTATTTCTTCTTCTTAGTGAATTGTTAATTGGGTTTCATTACAATGTAAGTTCTGGAAATTAGATGCCATGGAAGTTAGAGCAGCATGGGATACTGTACTCTTAGGTTCCATAATACTTCATAGTACATCTCTTTATTGAATGTTAAATGATAGGGAAGTATAATAAAATGTACCTAGAGAGTACTTATCTATTTTATGTCCTGTAACATTCAGTACTTGGTGCAAATGTAGCAGATCTTGATTCATAAAGGAACAAAACTGGTTATAACCCAAGAGAAAGGAGGTAGGCTCCACTTGTGATGAAAAGTTCCTCATTGGTAGCAGAAGCTCCGCAAAAATCATAGAATTTGAGGCCCTGGGGCTGGCGTTTGGCCCAGCAGTTGGGTTTCAGATGGGGACCCCTGGGTGCCATATCAGCATGCCTGAGTTTGACTCCTGACTCTGACTTCTGATTTCAGCTTCTTGCCGGTGCAGACCCTGGGAGACAGCAGTGATGGCTGAGGTAGTTGGGTTCCTGCCACAGACCTGAAAGACCTAGGTGACATTCCTTGCTCCTGGCTTGGGATCCCAGCCACTGGGGATGTTTGGGGAGTGAATTGCCAGATAGGGGTGTGTTCCTCCCTTCTCCCCTTACCAGTGTATAAGTATGTGTGTCTCTGCACATTTCAAATTAAAAAAAATTAATTTAAATAAAATAATTTGAGGTCTTACAGGCTTTCCTAACATCTAGTCCAGTCTTTTGTTTGATGCAAAGGCAAAGAATCTTTCAGCAAAGTTAGAGAAAGAGATGTGGATAGAACCTAGGATTCGATGCCCACTTTGTATTTCTTTTCATTTCCTGGTCATAGTTGCAACATTTAGTTTAATCTTTCTTTAAAAAGAGCATAATACTTGATGTTTTGTTGGCTTGAAATCTGATATTGTGCCCAAGGGCAACTAAAAGCTTCCCTCTTGTTCACTTTTTCTGGTTGCATGGATCCTTCTATGCTTCTCTGAGGGTGTGTTTGTGTATGACTGAAATGAAAGCTGTATTGTGACAGTGCTTAGAGAATTGCCTCTGATGACACAACTTTGTGCCTGTTTAAGAAAGCAGTGAAAAGGCAGTAAAGGGACTGTTATTTCTTAAGACCACTGACTACAGTGGGAGAAGCCCTGGGTGGCAGGTGGTCATATTTTGCAGCTATCTTGTTTTGTCCATGTTGTGTAGCCTTCGATCTGGGAGTTTTTGATTCTTATTTTGACCTAGATTTCTGGAATGCCCTATATAATCTTGTATAATCTTGGTCAAATACTTAACCTCCTGCTTTCTTAGGAAATTCAAGGCAGGTTAAGCAGATATTTGTAAGGTACCTTCCCGGCTTTGAATCATTATTTTCATAAAAGTTTTTTCACATGATCAAATAACCAAATATGGATTTCTGACAGTGCATTTTATTACTGTTTTGATAATTTTCATGGAAATTTGGAATGTGTCTACAGTCCTTTCACTTTGATCAGGTTGTTAGCTGTTATTTATAGAGCACCCACCAGGTGCTCAGAGATTTAAAAAAACGGTGCCCAGCCTCAAGGAGAAAGACTTCTTTATCTGCTACACTGGGGATGGAGGGTATTCTCCTCTTCCTTAAGCTTTCAGTGCAGGGGCTTTCTTAACCAGTGCATTGTTCAGTAGATACTGGTTGCGTGAGTGAAAGAATAAATTCAGCTGTCAGTCTTGCTTATATTTATGGAAGATGTACACTGAGAGTTATTGTTTTCTTCAGCCTACAGATGTTGTTAATTTGACTGTATTTTCCGGAAAATAGTAGGGCCATGATGATCTGAGGCTTTTGGAAGAAAGCATAAACACAAAGTACTTGAGAAAGTTTTTGGTGCAAATTTTTTGAAATCTGCATGTGTTTTTTGTGCACATTTTCCATGACTTTTTTTTTTCATTTTTATTTAATGAATGCATTTTTACATAGATACAACTTTAGGAATATAGTGGTTCTTTGCCACATAAACCCCCCAACCCCACTCCCATCCCATCTCCCATTCCCTCTCCCAACTTCTTCATTATGGATCATTTTTAGTATGACTTTATATACAGAAGACCAACTCTATGCTAGTCATAGTCTTCAACAATTTGCCCCCACTCCCACACAGAACATATAGAGTACATTTTGGGGGAAGAATTTGCAGTCTATTCTCATATTACAATTTAACAGGGATAGAGGTTCTACCTGGGGAGCAAGTGCACAGTGACTACTGTTGTTCCTTTAACAATTAACACTCTTTTTTTATGACGTCAGTGATCATCTGAGGTTCCATGACTTTTTGAAGTATGCTCAAGTTACATTCCTTTCTTAGAAGTGTTCTTTAATATTAGCATATTAAAAGCACTGGGGTATCTGCTTTAAAATACCTTAGTTCAACTCAGTAGTTCCACAATGTATTTGACCTCAAAAATCCTGTCTACTCTTCTTCTGTAGGCAGTAATTGTAGTGTCCTTTAGAGCTTTGACCTACAAGATAAAAAGTTTGGTATAGAGAATCTCACTACAGAATAAATAGAAGCAACACTAGTTAAAAAAAAAAAGTGATTTAACATTGACAAAGCATGTATGTTAAGCACTGTTTCTGGAAGCCCTGTATAAAATTATGGTAGACCTGTACGATATATTTTTAGTGACTGTGTCTCATTACAGGTTTAGGGTTAGGTGGAAGAGAGATTAAAGAAGTTGTAAGTGACCTGACAGCTACTTTACATTTATGGAAATTGAATGGTGGTGTTCTAACTTGTATCAGGGGCTGCCCTGTTAGGTTTGGCAGGGGAATAATGTGTCTGCTCCTTGAGGAGCCCAGTGGAGGAGACAGACAGACATGTAAACAGATTACAGCAGTAAAGACTCAAAAGCGTAAAGATCAGAAATAGAACACAGGGAGGAATAGTATTTTTTCTCCAATTTAGAGCAGGATTGCTGTTCATACAGTGAGGCCAAACCAAATCAACGGTGATCCCTCTAAAACCTTCAGACAAAATTCTACTCCTTTATCATGACTCAAGTCTTTCTGTGATCCAGAAGTAATTGCCCTTGGAACCTTGCTTAGCCTCCTCAGTCTGCTTTATCCTTGGACTGCTTGAGGGCAGGGCAGGGTTGTTTTTGTCTCAGCATCCACAGGGCCTGCAGGTACAGCATGCAGAATACCCACACTTCCTTGGGAAGGTAGTGATATTATTAGCATTTTCTCCTCTAAAATTTAAGTTTGACTATTTCAGTTACTTTTTTTTTAAGTAGTCAACAATTCTGCATCATGAATTATTCTTTCACATGAACCTACAGAAGTCATTAGTTTTTTATGGACTTTTCTCTTATTTACTGTTTTTTTTTTTTTTTTCCTGGACTACCATAACCACAAGTTTAGTTTGGTATTCTGTAGCACAATCAGGGCTCAGGATGTGGACTGATGGCATTTCCCTTTAAAGTATCTGTATCTATTTGCCATAAACGGGGCAAATTGACTGCTATCTACTGTAGTGCAGGAAGTCACTAAACTGAAAGTCAGCCTGACTTGCTTTGGCTAACTTTCTTTGTGACCTTGGGCAAGTCACTTAACCTTCCTTTAACTGAGGAGCTGAACCAGAATTAGCACAGTCTGTTCTACTGCTGACAGTCGGTGATTCTCTGGGTGATTCTCAGGGGAAGATTCACTTCCAAGGAGAAAGTTTAAAAGTGGATACATTTTTAGGTTAAATGGCTTTGTTCATTTAGTTTTTTCTCCTTAGCTCATTTTGGAGCAGTAAGACTGCTTGTCATGGATTAAAACCAAATTGCTTGAAACTCTCTAAAGACTGCATTTTTTATCCTACTTTTTATTTTCATGGGAAGGAAAAAAGTGACAATAAAACAAGCTTGTCTATATCCATGAATCAGGAAAAATCCATTTATTTTCAACATGCACAGTGTAGATAAACATATTCATTGAGTTTGGTTTACCACCTTTTAAAAAATTTATTTAACAGTTTATTTTTCATTTTGTCTGAAACACAGCCACAGAGACACCAGGATTGATCTTCTAACCACTGATCCACTCCCCAAATGCTAGCAACAGCCAAGGCTGGGCCAGGTTGAAGTCCAGAACTCCCATCTAGGTCTCCCATGTAGGTAGAAGGGACCAAAGTACTTGAACTATCACCTGCTGCCTTCCAGTGTGCGCATTAGCAATAAGCTGGATTGAAAGTGGAGTAGCTGGAGCTCTAACCAGATATTCCAGTGTGGGATGTTGGCATCCCAAGTGTTGTCAGAACCACTGCGTTGCAACTTATACACTGGTTTACCGACTTAAATGTAGGAAGAATTATACTAGATACACTTTAAATATTTTCATCAAGAGTTGAAACAAGGTGGGGAGTGGGCATTGTAATACAGCGGGTTCATCTTGGAATGCTATCATCCCTCATCAGAATGCCCATTGGAGTTCCAGCTACTTCATTTCTTATCCAGCTTCCTGCTAATTCATCTGGGAGACAGTATATGATGGGGTCAAGTGCTTGAGCCCCTGTTACCCACATGGGAGACCCAGATGGAATTCCAGGCTCCTGGCATTGGCCTGGCTGAGCCCTGGCTGTTGTGGGCATTTGAGGAGTGAATCTATGGTTAGATACTCTCTCTCTCTCTCTCTCTCTCTCTCACTCTCTCACTTTCTCACTCTCTCACTCTCTCTCTCCTTCAAATAAATAGAAATTTAACAGCAACAGCAACAACAACAATAAAGAATTAAAACAAGAACTTGCCTTGGTTTGGAAGGGCTTCTGTGTAGGGAGCCCAGTTACCAGTTCTATGATGAGTGTAGTCTGCGTCTTTGGGTAACTCACTGATTCTGGGGTTTGATGTCCTCGTTTTTTCAGTGTGATCTTTGTAGCAATGCCTGGTCTGTATTAAAGATCTTTGAAGAGGACTAGGGTGGGGAATGGAACCAGTGGGACCGAGAAAATCTCTGTCTGTCTCTCCCCTATATGAAAAGGAATCTGGAATTCTTGAGCAGGTTTTTTTAAAAATATTTTTAAGCCACATCAAATTTGCTTGAAAAAAACTGCCATTTAAATTGTCGAGTAGTGCCAGTCTATTTCTGGCTTTTTTGGCAGTTAATTCTACTTAGAAGCAAACGTATATCTGTGAGAAGAGGACTCTCAAGTGCTTTCTTAGAAAGGAGGATCTCAAAGTTCAGGATGTCCATCCCCTTTGATTTATAGCTTAGGAGGCTTAGGGCATTATGCATTGACATCCACTCATGTGGAGAGGAAACACGAGTCATAAATCTCATCTTTTATGCAAACTCAACATTTTCATAAGTTCATTGAATATAAACACTAGACAAATTTGGGCCTATGAAACCCACTGAGCTGGCGAGGGTCAGTCATGGGGTATCTCTACACAGAGATGCCGTAGTTGCTTTGGGAGTCCCCGTGCCAGGCTCCCTCTGTGTTCAAAACTCAGCTTCCAAGTTAAAGTAGATTGTCTGGGGTTTTTGTGGTGGTGGGTGCTGGAGGAGAGGAGGAGCAGAAGAGAGACTTGCAGCCGTGGGCTCCTGCTGTTTCCTTGGGATTTAGGGCCAGTTAAACAGGATCAGGTCTCTGAATGGCAGCAGATAAATAGCAGTGACCCTTAATTGAAAGGGAGGAGACCAAATGAGCCAGAGGTCAGGGCTTTACAGTGATGACAGGTGTCCTGGGAGTGTCAGCTGAAAAGTTCTAGATTGTCTTTCTCGTCTTTCCCCTTCCCTTCTTGGGTTTGGAAATCAGGGAAGGAAGGGGGTACCGTTTGCTAGACTATGTCGTGTTACCTATACCATTGATGTGGAAGGTTCCTGAGTGGCCTAAAATTTTGGGGCAAGAAGACCACCTTCGTAAAACTAGTATATTACAACCTGACTGCTACCTGCAGTTTGCCCAATAGCCAATTATGACACAGATTTGCACATTTTTTAGAAAGTAGACTGCTGTTACTATTCTTCCTTATACAAGGATTTTAGTCACTGTACATCTTGTGTCTTTAAATAATGTATTAGGAACATTTTCAAGTCTGTAAGTGCTTTTTTAATGAGAGTGTGAAGATTTTAATGGGACTAGATTGCTTTTCATGACATTTCAGAGTGACTTAATTGTAACAATGTTGAGAGGCTGTATTTTAAAGTTTGCTAAGTATGTCTTTGTAGATTATAGTCAGACACTTAAAAGGACAATTGGGTAGTGGAATCAAATAGCTTTTTCCTTACAGCTTTCCTCCAAATATTAGCTCTTTGCAAATATGGATAAACCAAACCAGGCAAGGTCAGAGTTCTCTTGAACCTTTTAATTTCAAATAGGAACAGAGGCAAATAACTGAGACTAGTGAGAATAGTTTCCGAGACAAGTTCTTTAAAACTTACTTGTGCAGCACTGTTACTCCTCAGGCATTTTCTGTCTCCTTTTGCACAGCCAGGAGACCAGGCTTGTTAGGGACCTAAATACCTGTCAAGGTTATATATCTTGTACTCTCTTTTTTAAGGCTATTTTTAAAAAAGATTATTTATTTATTTATTTGACAGGCAGAGTTACAGACAGTGAGAGAGACAGGGAGAGAAAGGTCTTCCTTCTGTTGGTTTACTCCCCAAGTAGCTGCAATGGTCGGAGCTGTGCTGATCTGAAGCCAGGAGGCAGCAGGTGCCTTCTCCTGGTCTCCTATGCGGGTGTAGGGCCCCAAGTACTTGGGCCATCCTCCACTGCTTTCCCAGGCCACAGCAGAGAGCTGGATTGGAAGAGGAGCAACCGGGACTAGAACCAGTGCCCATATGGGATGCCGGCACCACAGGCGGAGGATTAACCTAGTGAGCCACGGCTCCAGCCCCTATCTTGTACTCTCTTTAGCCCCTGAAAATGCTTCCCTGTTTGCTTTAAAAACTTACCTGCCTGTGTCTTGCATTTTTAGGTAGTTTAGTGTTCTTAAAGTATTGTCACTCTTCAGAAATGGTAGGTATTTCAGACTCTTAAATCAAACTCAATTTAAAAAACAAATTCTTCAAAGTAAGGAGATTATTCAGAGGTCATTTCCTACACAAATGTTCTTAGGATTCTAGGATTTTTTCAGCAGTAGATCAGATGGTCACATGCTTCGCGTGTGTGTGTGTGTGTAAGATATATTTACTTATTTGACAGGCAGAATTACAGAGAGAGTTAGAGGTAGGGGGAGAAAGAGAGAGAGAGAGAGAGATGTTAGAGAGGTGTCTTCCATTCGCTGGTTTACTCCCCAAATGGCTGCAGTGGCTGGAGCTGGGCTGATCAAAAGTCAGGAGCCAGGAGTTTCCTCTGGGTCTCCCATGCGGGTGCAGGGGCCCAAGGACTTGGGCCATCTTCTACTGCTTTCCCAGGCTGTAGGAGAGAGCTGGATGGGAAGTGGAGCAGCTGGGACTTGAGTCGACGCCTATATCTTATGCCAGTACTGCAGGCAGTGGCATTACCTGCTACCGCCACAGTGCTGGCCCCAGGTCAGATGCATCTAATACTTCCCTCAGTAGGTTCTTACATTAGTTTCTAATTGCTACAAACTGGTTGGGTTAACAGAAGCAATCTCACAGTTTTGAAGACTAGAAGCCTAAAATTAGGGTGTTGGCATGGTCATGTTCCCTCTGAAACCTGTAGAGGAACCCCTTCTTGTTTTTCCTAACTTCTGGTGGTTTTGTGGATGGTTTCTGTCATTCCTTAGCTTGTGGTTGCCTGAATCTAATCTTGGCATTCATTGTCACTTGGTGTTCACCCCGTGTCTTTACATGACCATCTTCTTTTAAGAACACAAGTTGTACTGGATCTGGACTTGAGACGTACTTAATCCAGTATGGCTTCATCTGCAGCAATCCTCTTTCCAAATCAAGTTCATTGTGTGGTGCTGGGGGATTTCACATGTATTTATTTATATGTTATGTGTTTATATAAAGTAGAGCCATAACAGGGTCATACTTTAGAAAGCACCTAGGAGATTCAGATGAAGCCCATACATGTTTCCAAAGCATGGTTCCTGGCTTACCTGTAAAAAATTCATCATGAGTTCTAAAAAAGCTGTAAGATACATGTGTAGGATAATATGTAATCTTGAATGGCTTAAAGAAGGAAATAAACCCAAACTCATGTACTTACCACTTAGCTTAGGAAACAAAACATTGCCAGTACATTTGAAGGCCCTGGAGAACCATAGATTCTACTCTGAGAGGTTAGGTCAAGGAGATTTGAAGGAAATGGAGACGTACATGTGTATGTGTGTACCATGTATATAGTTATATGTAATTATTTTTTTTAATTCCAAATGTGTATTTTTAAGTTGGTCTTGAAAATTTTGCTTTGGAATGGGGTGTGACTTTTGCTTTTTATTAAAGATTAGAAAAGATTTGATAACTTTTTTTACAGTGTAATGGAGCAGTCATTGTTAGCTTTATTTTCTTCTGTTGGGGAAGTTTCTTGAAATTCTCATCTGTACCAAGTATAATTTTCCAGATCAGTTTAGATCTGTGGTCCAAAGAGACAGTGTGCACAGTTGGATTTGTGGGAGCAAGATGAGGATGTGTGAGGGTAAAGACCTGTTTTGAATTATGCACCTTACATTTTTCTCTTTCTCCTGAGGATTTCATGAAAATTAGTATCTGCCAGATAATTTTGAATTTGTAAAATGCCTTGAGTTCTTGGAGGAAGCTGTTGCATAAATGTAAATAAATTATATAGCACTTGAATTTGGTTGTTCATCATATTTTATAGTGTGTTTTAATTAAGAACTAAGCTCTATTGCAGTTGGATGGCTGGAAAAAGGTTTTAATCACTCAGAGATGGGGAAGTAAGTAGGTAGGAACAGCATTTAGGCTGGTAGCCATAGAGAAATAAATGAACAGAATGTGTGCTGGAGATCAGTCACTTTCCATGGCATTTGCTGAGCTGAGCTGTGGGTCGTGTTTCCTCTCGTATGTACACATGGTGCTGTTAGAGAATCAGCCTTCCTTTAGATGTTCACGCTTTGTCTCAGACTTTCTGATATCTTAGACTTCTCTGGCTTTCCTGAGCTGGAGACCTTTGAAAAAGCAGGGTGGAGGGAGTGGAGAGTGAGCAGTCTCACTGTCTAGATTATGTTACTGTCTAGGTACTGGGGGAGCAAGAGGCATTCAGCAAACCACATTGGCTTTTGATTTTGTGTTTCTACAGCCCAGTAAGCTGGGTTGCAAAACTGTATTCTCTTGCGTGTTACACAAAGCTTTCTGTTCCAGTGGGTAATAGCATTCCAGGACTGCTTAAAAGTAGACAGCAAACAATTGGGAACACCCCAGAGCCCAGTTGTACCGCTTTTGTTTGCGTGGTCTCAGAGTCTCACTCTAATGCTTGTTTTTCACCCTGGGAACAAAGAATCATCTTATCCTCCTTCCTGTGTTTGACCCCAAACCAAAGACTCGTAACATTTCTCATTCATTTACCATGTATGTATGAAGTAAGTGCCCACCAGCTGCCAGGTGGTTCTTACCATAGAGTTGTCCAGTGGAGGACACAAGCATAAACAAACAGAAACAAAAAGCTAAAGTCAATAACCAGGAACCAAATAGCCATAATTTGATGAAAGGTATATAAAGGATAATCACAGGCTCTTCAAGAGCATATGACAGGGGAATCCTATCCCAGTCCTGGCTTCCAGAAAAGGCTGATTTGAAGAGTGAACTCA